AATGCAAGCTCTATAAGGCCAGGGACTTTTTCTCTCATAATAGATATATTAAATCTTCTTGATTGAACGACAATAACAACAATAACCTTGTATATATTAACAACTCTAGAATATCAGAGATGAATGGCATTAATATGATAAATGCTAAGAATAGCTTTTTATTAAAATAAACTCTATTGTTTGGCATTAATAGTAAAAATAAATCTTCCAACTCATGAGACAGATGTAAAAGGCAAACAGAAAAAGAAAATCAGCAGGGTTCTATTTTTAAAAAAAAACTGTTCATCACAAAACAGCCTCTACCCTTTTGCTAGCAGAATGTACATTTCCAGGAATTCACATTTAAATGTTATTTCCAAACACAATCAAATTCAAAATTTGAGATGGATGTAATACCAAAAAAAGTACAAAATACAAAACCAAAAATTTCTAGTTACAGAATGAACTTTTAAGTATATCCCCAAATAGAATGAGTTTAAATTATTCTTCAAATGAAGTATTCCCATTTTTCAGGAGAACCACTTTTCTCTATCAAAGGATGAGAAGCTAAGAAAATAGATTATAAAGCTATTTCTTAACATTACAGTATTGTTAAACTTGGAAAAGGCATGTCTGGAAGAAAAGCATCAGAAACAAAGTTGGATGGAGTCTAGTCTTTCGGTATCTGTGAATTACTTTGTTTAACTAAATCAAATCAAACCATCATATTCTGCTTTGTATCTACTGGCAAACCAGGTACCTGAAAAATATACTTTGGGTCAAAGCAGTACCAGGAAAGTGAACAAATATTACCTGTTGAATCATTGAATTGTTTAAGTTCATTTAGCCATTTTCCACAAAGTCCTAGATGCCCAGATGGTTAATAGATCGAATGAACAGAATAGGTAGTGAGCAGCTCCAATGTCCCTCTCTAATTCTTCATTGTGGGGTGGGGGGTTAACCTGGGTTCTCCAGGAGTATAGAAAAAGGAAAGCTCTGACAGTTCTTAGCAAATGGTTGACTCTGGGACTGAGCCATTCAGAACTTTGCTAGACTGATCTTTGGATGACAGCCTGTTGCTGGGCCCTTACTCAAAGCTTTTCCAACTTTGTGTGAGATGCCAGACCTTCTTATGCTCCATTGGCACCCACCTAAGGGACTCAGGGTCACTGCCACGTCATGATGACATATTGTAATAAGATTTCCGTGGAGATTTTTATCCTCTTTTCTCTGTTAACTACTTATCTTTTGCTCAAACATCCATCAATGCGAAACATCTTAATTTTTAACTGGTCAATCACTGACCAACAAAGATTCATCCAGCACAGTCCTTTATTCTAATTTCAATCATTATCAATTATATAAATACATGCAAATACGGGCTATCTCAAAAGTTTTAACACAGTTTTACGCTGCAATAGTTTAAACAAATACACATACAGTGATTTTGAGCAAAATTCTTTATCAGGGCAGATGGACACCTCTGCAACTTATAGTCTTAAAGAGTTGCCTAGAAAAGTAAGAGGTCAAGCGACTTGCCCAAGGGCACATAGAGTGGGACTTGAACTTAGGTGTTCCTGGTTTTAAGGCTTGCTTAATAACTACTACGCTGTACTATCACTCCCCTCTCTGCCCCACTCTATCATGAAAATCTTGACAAAATCTCAGAGAAGGAGAAGAGGGGAATGATTGGAAGTGGTCATGAAAGGAAATGAGATACTATTGCAATTTATTTGAGAAGCAGCATGGTTTAGTGACTAGAGCACTTCAACTGGAGATAGCAAGATCTGGGTTAGAATCCTACCTCAGATATTTTACTAGTTGTTTGACCCTGGACAAGTCATTTTGCCTCTTTAATTCTCAGTTTCCTCATCTTTAAAATAAGAATAATATTGGTACCTATTTCACAGCAGTGTTGAGAAGATAAAATGAGAAAATAAACGTAAATTGCTTGGCAAATACTACATTAATGTTAGCTATTATTATTTTTATGAAGTCTTTCCTTATCCCCCCAGATTCTAGTACCCTCCTAGAACTATGTTGTATTTAATGTCTTTATATTTATTCTGCAAATTTGTACATATGTATGTATCTACGGATATCGATATATATAATGTATATGTGTATGAGTTTGTATACATATACATTCCTACCCCAAATTGTGTGTATGTACATACACACATATACATAACATGTCATATGTAATTATATAATGTATATATACATATATATAAGTTGTGTTTATGTATGCATGTATATATCTTTATCTGTGTATCTAGTTTCCTACAGCAAAATATAAGTAGGGATAATTATATATGTAAGGATAATTTCATTGTATCTGCTATACCTAACACATAGATAGTGCTTAATAAATACTTGATTTTTTAAAAAGTTAGTATATGGATTCTATTTTTGATTTATCAGCAAATGGTAAATAAATGGTTTGTCATTTATGTTTTATGCATCACCTTCATTTTCTTTTAAAGTCAAATGTATAGTTTTAAATTTAACGAAAATGACTCATGCTATACAACTTAATTTTGCTTGTTTTAAATGAAGTGCCCAAAATAAACGTATCTTGAAATCATACAAGCAGATGAGCCACAGAAAAACTGACCTCTGACTCAACTTGCCTAACTGCATATTTAAGAAATTAGGTCCCACTAGGTCAATAACATGTTATCCACATATAATATGGAAGATAATAGCAATAAAAAATATTGAACTGTGACAGAATTATAATAATGGATACCATCAGGGAAATGTACAATCAAAAAGGAGATACATTAGACATGGGTAGAAAGTGAAAGATAGTGCAAGTATATCATCAGTATAGTAGGTCCCCAGGATGCTAACTGAATCTCTGTGGGTAAACTTTTGGAAGGACACGGACAAGAGACCTTGAGGGTGAAGCACAATCTGTATCGTTAGAGAACTATCCACAGTAATGATGCCACAGATCCCTTTGACTACCCAAGTATTGATAACCACTCATATTCACTCAGTCCTCTACACTTCAAAAGGCATTTTCTTTATAGCAAAACTATGAGATAAGTTGTATGTGTGTTATCATCTGCATTTGACAGATGCGAAAAATGAGGCACAGAGAGGGTGAGGGGTATATTCATGTTCACCTAGCTAGTAAAAGTATAAAGAGCAAGACTTGGACCCAGTCTTTTAATTCCAAACTATAAATCATTCTGCAACAATCCATCTCAAGAAAGTTAAGTTGCGCCAAAGTGACCTCTATTGGTCTTGGAATCACAAAACAGAAACCACAAATGATTAGTCCATATACTTAACTGATTAATGTCATCTAGCCTTGCAGCAGGTAAGAATGAATGAGATTGCACAGAGTTTGGCCAAGCCTCCAAAAATATTATCATTAATTTTATTATTGGTAAAGCTGAAAAACCTTCCTATACAAAGCCTCTTCTCTGGTGGAGGTGATATTAGTAGGATGAATTTAGCCAATTGCATATTTGTTTGCTATTAATTTCATCTTGTAATTTTTTCCTCCCAAATCAGATTGCTTTAACTTGGCTTGCGTTAGTGTACATGCTCATTATTCTGGTGAGAAATGGACATTTTCCACCCCCTCCCTTCTTCCTGGCCTCATTCTCATTCCCTACACACACTCCTGGGCAGTAAAAGCAGTTGTCTCCAAGGATCCTCTCGTCCTGCCAAATAAAGCTCTTGGCAGGGAGCACCTTCCATGACAGTTTGTGTGCTGGTCCTTGGAAAAATGGCATGCAATTCCAGTGCATACCTTTTGTGAAAGTATGTGGGCAATACTAACTAGTATATTATAAGAAGTGAGAAATCAAGGTAATGGGTTGAAGAATGAATGCTATTTCTTGTTGCCACCAATAGCCATGATCAAATTTAACCCAATCTGAATATATGCTCAGGGGAAAAATATTTTGAGAAGAAAACTGGTTTAGAATTAACTTCACAAACTATGAATGTCCATGTTACATTTGTGATTATGATGCCAGGGCTAATTACATAAAAATGTCACACTTAATAATGTAAATACAACATAAAATTAATAGGTTTTGGACTGTGGTCTTCTTAGTTTTAAAATGGATATGAAATGCTGAAACAACCACACTGTTTAAAAATAAGCAACACAGATACTCTCATTGTTTGGGGGGGTTTTAGATTTTATATACCTCTTATTTTAATTTTCCTCCATGTGAATCAGATGATTTGAAATAGGCTATTCTGAAGTAGTGGACAATTTTCTTTAAGGTGCTGTGTACCCTCAAAAAGAGCTAAATCTTGGAATGTTGTGTAGCAACCCTAGTTCAGATGCTGCAATATTCTTTTATGTAATGCAAATAAGGAGATCCAGTCATGCTCATGGACCATTCACCATATCTGTTTTACGGTACTTTTGCACTACTTTGTTTCTGCAAGAAGTAACTTGATTTGACTTAGGAGATCAAAATTGTTATCACTTGGCTCAAAATGAGGGTACCAGAAGCATCAATATCTGATAAGACTTGCTTTGTGTTAGCCCTAAAATGGGACTGATCAAGAACTACCTTTGGTGTTAAAGAGATCGGTAAACTCCTTTGTTCTCTCACCTACGTTCAATTTAAATGCAACTAGGATGAAGGCAAGAAGGGAAAATATCTGGGACCGACCCTTAAGAAACCTCTCACGACATAGTAAAAAATTTTACTCCTACATCAGTCCTTTTCCCCTCCTAAAGAAGTTCATTTAATTCCATTTTTTAAGAAAGAGCTAACACGAAAAAAAAAAAAAAGAAGCCAATTCATTCTACTCTCAGTGACCACATTGTCATTATCAAAGGTCCCTCAGAGCTCCAGAGGTGACACTGAGGGACCCCTCCAAAGCAAGGAGTTGTAAAAGCAGATTGGCATGCATTCGTGTTCTCCAAAAGGTGTGTCTGTGCCTGAGGAAAGTTGAGTATTTCCAAGGACCATGACGGCCCAAAGTGAAACACCTCGAAAAGGACGAAACGAGCAGGTCAAGTCAGTACATTACAATACCTTAAGAAGCCTGACAGATGGGAGAAAAGCAGCATGGCACAGCTTCCTAATGGTCCAGTTTAGTGGGCGATGAGCATCAGTTTGATTCATGACTCTTTCCCAATTCCACCAGGAAAAAGAGGAGCTGTCCACCTGCAAATGCCTAGAAAACCCAGGGTGCCCCACAGTTCTGACATGCCAGGGTCATCTCAGCACACCTGCAGTCCCGTCAGGGCAGGGGGTTTCCGGAACTTGGAAGACTAGTAAAGGGGTTCTGCCTTAGCCCCCGATCCTCCTTAAGAAAGCAACCTCCTGGCTTGGAGCAGTGGTGCTCATGCATACCAAATGGGGCTGAATGGAAGCAGCCAGCCTGCTGCTGCTGCTGCCGCCGCCGCTGCTGCTGCTGCCACGGAGGGGAGGGATGCACGGTTTTAAAGGAGAGGGACAGCCTGCACAGAAAAGCCTGCAGTAAAGGCAGCCCACCGGCTAGTGCTTTCACTGTCTCTCCTCCAGTCTCTTCAGAAGAAAGGCAGGTCAGACATGCTGGGGGAAGATGAGCCATTTGCTTGGCTCTCTTGGTTTGGCGGGGGAGAAGGGAGTCTCTGAAAGAGAGCATAAATAAAAGCTAGAGCTGGGGGGACTTCGACTTTCTTTCACAATGCATCAGCGAAGAGCTATAAACCCGCACAGGGGGGAGGGGCTAACACACCCATCCAGAAGGGATGGATCTCACTGATAAGACCCGATAAATTCTCTCCCTCTGATTTAGCTGATACCATAAATTGAAAGCCATGCTCAAATAAAACTAAGTGCACTGCCCCGGCATGTCTCAGGATTTTTCGTTGCAACCATCAGCAGGCTTTGCCCTGACAATGATTTATTTTTATTTATCTTTTGTTAGATGAACTCAGTTATGAAAGACTTACTCTTTTCATAAAAAAAAACCCAAGCTACAATGGTGTATTTATATTTTCTTAACGTTAGCAATGAAAAAAAAAGAAAGATATTTGTCTTAGAGCCTCCTAATCTCACACTCTAGAATGCTATTGGAGACCGCCATTCTTTTTCAAAACTTTAACCCTTATGATTTCTTGTGGGAGGTGGGCAACAAAGAGTGCAGTTTCACTTAAGCTTTGCTCCCAACACTTTCTACTTCATCCCCAATTTCTAAGGAAGGTTTCATTGCTTAAGAAGTTAGAGTGTGTGTCACTAAGCCTCCAGTTATGGAGGGAATATACAAGAGTTTTTTGCTCTAAAATCTGGAATCAGTTTCTTTCAATGATAAGGGATAGCCACAAGGCTGATAGTACTAAGAGGAATTTTAAGCTTCCACTCGTAGCTCTCCAAGACTCCCATATCGATCATGTTTCGTTTTGGTGGGCACTATGTCAAAGGGAGCATTCAGGAGAATTTTGTACCCTGAGAGCTCTTTCATTTTTGCTTTTTCTGCTTTATGTCCCTTTCCATTACAATGCTTCTCTCTTCCTAATTAGCTCAAAGAAAACTTTAATTGACTATTCCATGATTACTGTCCATGCTTAAGGGAAAGGGATTAGCAAATATGATACTATACTGAAGCTGTGCTGTCATGTATATGTTATAAGGTATGTCCATCCCAGATTCCACCCGAGCTTTATTTCCAGAAGTGCCAGAGAGTGCTAGAGATGTTATTATAGCAATGTTTTACATATACTAAAGTACCGTGACAGGGACCTAAGTTTATCAGGAAATGCTACTTATTTGAAAATCCAGTCCACTTGAGAATTTAGCACTAAGATACAAATACATCTTATGGGCTTCTGTTAATGAGTTTTACTTGTTGTATTTTAAAATATTCAGTCAACGTCTGAATACCTACTATGTGCAAGAACTGACTTATATTGCTTATGGTATATACTAGGAGTCTAAAAGTCCAGATTCATGTGGAAGATCATACTCCCCAGATTCCTAGAATCTGCACAACAGCTATCACAAAAATATAAGATGGTAATGAAATCAAGTGAAACTCATTAAAACCGAAAACGTCCTGTGAGTGATAATAAACTGAAGTAAGCTAATAAAAGGATTGCCAGGGTTTCACAAAGATGATTATGATTTTCACATGATATATAGAATACAGCGATCTTTTTTCAACTCTAATGTAGCCAGGATTAGAAATATTCTCCCTTGGAACAGTGCCTTCAACAGGAGCAGCTGGCTCCCCCTTTTAGGACTCTTCCATGAAGCACTGGGAGGGAATTTGAATTACCCATTCCAAATGCCCCAGAGGAAGATAAAGGAAAGAGGGAAAACTGGGAAGAAAATGAGGCTATTCCTTTGTCTTAACTCTAAGAAGAATGCCAGTGTGAGTGGGAAATACACTGGCCCAGAAATCCCACAGAAGGTACTGTCAGCAAGAGAATACAAATGGCACTGATCTACCATAACCTTGTATGGGATTAAAGATGAGAGACAAAATAAGAAAGGAGTTTCCCCATAGCTTTAGGAGAACTTTGGTCTGAGATCCATACAAAATATTTTCAAAGTAAAAGGAATCACTCTGGCCTAATGATTGAATTTGAGGTGTGATTAACACAGTTAGGTAAAGTGAGAGGTAGACTGAGTGGTCATTCCATACAGTCCAGTGGCAAGAACATTGATCCTCTGGGGAAGAAGGATGCCATTCTTTGGTCAATGGGAGAATTGTAGACATCAGCAAAACATGGGAGACACCCAATGTCGAGCTACCAGGGAGCGGGGAATAGAGTCCCAGGAGACAGAGCTTTGAAGAACAGTAGTCCTAGAAGCTAAACTACCAGGGGTGGAGCTGGAGTGGTTTACATCTACTCAACAACAGGCAAAAAATTAGGAAAATGAGTGGGATTTGGGAGAAATAATCACCCCTGCTAATGATTCTATGTGGGAGCTGTGAAGATAGCTCTGAAGGAAATGGGAAACAGAAAACCTGGACCTCCCAGCAGGCTCTAATTGTTAGAAAGTTTCCACTTACATGAATCCTACACTTGCTTTTCTTTAACTTTCTACTCTCTAGAGATAAGATATCCCACCCATTCTTCACATAGCAGCCTCTGAAATTAGGCACTTAGAATTTACTATGACCCTATTTTCCCCTAAAAAAGTAATAGAACTCATTCAGCAACACAGTCTCTATAATCCTGTACTACACCTCTTTTAAAAACTGATTTTATTTTGGTCAAATAAAATATCTAGGGGTTGTGAGATAAACAGAAAGATTGATTTGCACAGTTCAATGACAATAGTCAATTAGTTAGTCAACAAACATTTCTTAAGCACCAGTCAAGGGCTAGACACTGTGCTAAGCCCTGGGTGAATCAATGTTTAACAATAATATTGTTAGAGGAAGGTATATTTTAAGAATCCCAAAAAACTCAAGTGTGGCCTCCATATTGCCACATTGAAGCTACACAAGCTTTCTTCTGAAAATGTTCTTTTTTTCCTTGAGTAATTACAGGCCCGTTAGGTCTACAGTCTCAAATGCCCTGCTTTGGAAATGTCTTGGGATGCCCTTCAACTATAAAAGGGGCTACAGCAATGAAGCCACAGGAATAAGGAAATTACATTGAGGCCAGGTGGCAGATAGCATGCAAAAAGCCTATTATAGAAATACATGTGTTTGCTACATGCAATAGTTTCAAAGAATTCCTATATAAATCTTCCCAATGTATGCTAATATGAATTCCAAATTCAGAGACATCTGGACATTCATTAAACAGATGTTTCCTCACTTTCTATATGTATAGAAGGCACAAAGTGGTGGAGAATGTAATAAGAGGCTGACTGAAGTACTAGGAATTTGTGAATTATTTCATTCCTTTCAGTATACCATAATCTCAATAATAATACTCAGTCAATTCTTGTGACTGTCCATTATAAGAAGGATGGTTGCAGCAACTGTTCTCTTTGGTATGTACTTTATAGTAATTCTCTATTTTGCCTAAATGCTATTTAAAGTTCTGCTTGTTCTGCTTCTTTGCTTCAATCAAAATGAGTTAGGTATCATTTTTAAAAATCTAGACTATAGTTAAAAAAAAATCAGAATCTAGTTCTGGCATATGGTAGGTACTGAATAAGTGCTTGTTGATTTGACTTGTTTACCTTAGGAACATGTGATATTTTAGTTGTGATTATTGGAATTAGAATTAGTTTATAATCTAAAATTAGGACAACTCTAGTCTCTGCATCTGTGTAGTCAGTAGAGTGCTTCGGAAATTCTCCATTTATGGCATACATTAGTCACCAAGAGTAACTGGAGTAAACTTGAAACTTGTAAAACAAAGTTTCTTATACTTTCTTCTTCACCTTCTGTGTGCATATGTACGTATGTGTGTGCATTTATTTATGTAAGTATAACCACTCCCAACAAGAAGAAATTCTTCCCTATCTGAGTCCCAAATCTACATCTCCTCTGGTTTATGGGTTGTACCATCTCACTTTTCTCAGAGCACTTTGGCCTATTTAGAAGCAGCTTGCTTTCATACTTCATCAGTCTCTCTCCTCTCTGTTCTTGACTCCCCCTCCCCACAAAGGCAGATGGCACAAGTTAGATATTTTAAGCAGTTCAGCATTTAATGGAATATTTTACCCTTCTACATGTACTTAATGGAATACAGCCCATGTACTCTTCTAAGACCATATCCTACTCCTATCCTTCAACGTCACAACCTAGGTGTGGTCCACTTCTTTTGCTTTTATTCAGAAACAGAACTCACAATTTGGTCTGCTTCTAGCATTATACATCCAAAGGTCAACAGAGACAGGCCATTTCTCTTGAGTTCTTAGTTAGGGATCAATAATTGCATTACTACAGGGTCAGGAATCATTGGTTCTGCTTGTTCACCCCATTCTCATTGCAGGTTGTGACAATAAACAGTAAAACTTTCATGAAGGTGCTTCGTTATTAACACATTTTCAACCCTTCACCGATAATCAGGCAGGACCATTTCAAGATGTTAGATATTTAATGTCACCATCATGAACCCATTCTTTTTTTTTTTTTAAACTAACCAGGGCTAAATCTTAGGATCAACTTTTGCTCATATAATTGCAAATTTGATTTAGATTTTGAAAAAGAAAACCTTTACATTAAGTATCATGCTCTTATAATGTCTGGATGTATTATGCATTTGATGGTATTTTAGTCTTGTTAAGTTTTATAATTCCTTTATGAACTCCCAAGCATATACAGACTGCCTGTCTTAGAGGTCACTAATGCAGGGATGGGAAAATACTCAACTTTTGGTTTCTTTTAAAGATGTCATTAACTTTATATTTATACTCAATAAAAACTTTCAATTCT